TGTGTGGGGCAACGGGGACGACGACCATTGGGAACTAAGAACTCACGACCGGTTACTAAATATGACGGGGAATTAAACAATTCGTTACTACAGCATTCGCTGCCGCTTATTCGTGCTGTACGGATTGCGGTCGTACCATAACCGTTTGCAAAGGGGTATATGATGCCACCGTGCGTCGGCTAATAGGATTTCAAATATCAAATCATTCGGTCCAGCGCCGAATCGTGTCCACGTTCTCAGTGGCGACATGTTGCTGTATCAAATTCGAGATATTCCGTTGGATCGCTGCGCGACCGTTGATTGCCGGATTGAAAAAAATTATAAATAAATACAATAAAAACCGTTCTCGCGTCAGACCGGTGAATAGGGCTTGGCTCGGGCCGTTCGTTGTTCGCAACGATGTCGAGGCGAGGAAAAAAATGTTTCGCGTTAAGACACGTGAACGTCGTACGCGCGTGTCCGCGACTAAACGGCCGCGGGTCCTTTGGACGGAAACGCGTCCTTCGGCCAACGGCTGCCGCGGCGGTACGCTTTCGCGAATCCAACAATACCGCTGGCTCGCCACGTGCAACGTTCACGTTAACGCGGCGATAATTGTACGCGCGTGTCGATGAACTGAAATCTCTTGATCGACGACTGATCGGCAATAAACGATCGAGTATTTACCGCGCGTCACATCGAAACCGAATCGATTTACACCGTCTCGACGGCACGCGCGTCCTCCCGGGAAACCAGTTAGTCGGTCGCGCGTCGTTTACGGTGCGGTACACCAGCGGACGATATTGGCTCGCGGTAATGCGTATCGATCCCGTTTTCGATGCACCCGGAGCTAGAGCGCGTGCCCGAAAGGATTACGATATCGCGTACAGGAGACGGTTGGCAGGTGACGTCGAACCGCTATGACGCGGCTAATTTGTTTGTACACAACGTCGCCACGGTCGAGGGACCGCGTAACGATTATTGGATTATAATAATTATGCGGCACGAAACGAAGGTAGACGTGAAATTCACTATCTCCGATCGCGCGCGTCCGTCCGACTCGTCGATACGTGGTCTTCTTCGTCTTATTAACCATCGAACTCGTTACGGAAATCGGTGTGCCCGTCCGTGCGCGCGCGCGCGCGCATAATATTTAATATTTGTGCGCGCACGATAAACACTGTTATCTGCGCGGTTCGATCTTCTGGGCGATATTTAGCATTAAAATGTCGGGCCATCGGACCTCTCGGAACGGGACGACGGAAAACCACTCGGGGAGATCGTGCGATTACATTACATTACGATGTATTATGAACGCATAAAATAATAACACGTAAGCGGTGCTGTGCGTAAACCGAAAAACCCGTACAGTCATTCACAACGAGCGCGTGGAAACGGTTGAAATATTAAAGGCGATCCGTGTTCGATAAACACGCGCGTTACGACCGCGTATTCGTGTAATGCGTTATCATACGTAACGTGTGAAGTGTAATTTGTGCGCATTTTAACGCGCACGATAATGAGGACGATACCACGCGGCAGGATTCGATCGGAGACCGAGGTCCGGTGCGGTATTTCGGAGTTCGACAGAAACGAAACGGCGTATGAATTCCACGCGGAGAGACGGTCCGTGTTCGGGTCCAGTGGCGTAGGAAGACCGGCTAGCGCCCCTGGCGAACTAAGAAAAAAACGCTTTTTAACCAATTAAAATTTGACGTTATGATATTTATTTAACCTTTAATTCTGCTGATTTTTCCAAGTATACGATTTATATTTATAAATTATTATTACAGTGTTGATTTTCAACTTTGAAAATTTGCATTTCTCGCTCTATGACTGGTAAATTCATCGATGATTTCTTCATATGAGATTTTTTATGTAAATGCCCTTGTGCCGTTTTCATAATTTCAACATTAAATTCACACGTAGTGCGTATAAACAGACAACATCTACGTATTTCAAAAAATTACAATGGAAAAATTCCGACTTTACTGTAAGATAAAAATACGACTTTTGCACGATTTTGCGCCCTTTTGCGAATCGCGTCCCCGGCGTAGGCACAGTTCGTCATACCCTTGCTACGCCACTGCTCGAGTTGACTGAAGGCGATGCCAACACGGTTGATGTGAAACATAAAATAAACGATAGCGAAATAAAGAAATTCGTCTGCGTCCGAAATCTTTTGGAACGAGTCGGTAAATGTCTTGATATCACAGAATTATACGTCGTGCGTGGAAATATTGCACTCGCTGGCGAGGCCGTGAAGACGATGTGATAAGAAATAATACGCTTTTGCTGGCGATCAGTTTTTTTTTGATAGGTGTACGTTTAAAAACTACCGTCGTTAAGGACCAGCAAACGTTCACGGATCGAGGTAATTTTAAAATTCGGATCAGTTCGAACGGGCGGTGTTGATCTAAACATCAATAAAACAAAATTATAGACATTTGAGATCAATGCCAAAGCTAATTCTTATTTTATTGCTGAGGTCACCTAGTACACAAAAAATATATATTCGCCGCACGGCCATGCCATTTCATTATGTCCGACCGGGAATGATTCATGAACACTATAGCCTCATTAGAAACACATAGTTACTGTTTAACGGTATGCAGTCCGTCAGTTTCGATACTGATGTTTAATTTCGATTTTAATAGATACGCATTTTTAGTAGTTTTATTTTATTTAAAACCTTTACCGTATCCATCGTTACGACGGATTGCACTAAAGAATACGGTCGACCTATTTTGTTGCACGTATCAAAAATACACTCTTCACGCGCATGCAGAAAAGACAAACGCGTTGAAACTTATATTTCGTGGAAGGGTTTTCGGAATCAGAGGCGAAACTAAAAATGTTCACGTCCGGGGAGAACGTTAAAATTACGCCCTATCGTAGACCGAGAATCAAATGCCATTTCTTACAATTTTTTTCTAATAATTAGCATACAATCATAGATATTGAGTTTTGAGCATATTATCAATAACAAATTTAAGACTAGCGATCTAATAGTCAATAATAGATTATATACTACAAAAACTACATCTTTTAAGATGTTACGCCGCGTTTTTTTTTTTTCTAGTTCTCTACTGTTCCGAACGACTGAACAATGCAATTACATTTTTACCACACAAATTGGATTAGGTAGGCAAGCGAGAACAAATTTAGTTTGATTAAAACTGTAATCGACGAAAATTATCAAACACGAATCATGTAATTTTTAAGCTGTGCGGAAGTCTGTCGTCGGAATACACAGAGAATTCGAAATCGAAACCGGAACGCGCACGTATCTTTTCCTACGTCATCGCATATACCCCTTTATTCGTCAACCGTAGCACGAGTTAAGGTACGTTTTCCCTTGTGCGATAGCGAATCTAAGATCGCGCACCGTTATCGTGCGACTACCGGAAAAAATGGAAATAAAATATAGTTGTTTTTCCTCTTAGAGTCGGCGATTTGAATTTGTTCGCGACGCGATTGATTTGTTGTTTTGAAAAAAAAATAATTATGATCCTATGACACTCGTTTTATGATCGACCGCTGGTCGACGTGGGTCGTGTCTTCAACAATTAGTGCTCCGATGACCAAATTTAGCGAAAAGCCGAAGGCGAACGAAGTGACCGGACGTGTTGGTAAAAACGCAAGAGATATGTATTTGTATTGCCAAAGTTCGTATACATCGTACACTAGCGTATGTACACGTCGAAATACTGAGCGCGGCCGAACGACGCGATGTATGAATCACTCTCGGTCGCGACGTAAAATCGTCCAGGACAGGGCCAGGACGACGCGACCGAGAGTGATTCGTATTCGAGTTGGCGGTTCGCGGTCGAAAATCCGAAACATATCGGTTTCGGACGCGCACTCGTACGCGTTTCGAGTGTTCTTGTTGTCCGGTCGGCCGCCGTTGTGGACGTGCGTATACGGCGTAATGTAAGACGAACAGCGAAGCCGGTGGCAATGATAATGACGAGCGTTGATGCGTGTGCACGATCCGCCGGTCGGGGATAGGTATTGAACGGCGAACGCGATATTGGTGGCGGCCGAGTGCGACTGCGTTTTACAAACGAGTGCGCGCGACGGCCGTACGAGGTCTAAAAGGAAACTTGCTCGGGCGTATTTGTTATTGGACCAACAACAAATGTTATTAGCCGACGGACCATTTGCAGCGCACAAAAGGTACAAACACGCGCACACGATCTCGCGATTTATATACGTTGTGCGTTTTGTAATGTTTTTTATTTTACGTGCTCGTACAGAGCGGTACGGATCCGCGGTGGTGCCGTGTTGCGGTTGATGATGACGATGACGCTGCGCGCTCGGACTAAATGGAAATAACGATGCGGAAAAAAAATAATAATAATAATAACAATAATAAAGGAATAAGAATGAAAAGAAAAATAATAAACCATTTGAAAACGCGACGGCGGTGCACTGACGACGTGGTACACGTACTTACGCCGATGTCCGCTGACCCGCGCGGGATCGTGTCAACAATCTCATCTCCGGCCTCGGCGGCACATTCGTATGCATAACAACGCGCACATCATACCGGGTTATTGGTACCGTGCGCCGCGTCGTCCACGCGTCTTCGCGCGTCCGTCCGCCGTGCCCCGTGATTTATAACAACGAAATCCGAACGGAACAAAAGTCGGGTAGGGGTGTAATAATCAGCGTGGGCCAAAACGCCCGGGTTTTGTGGAAAAAACCTTACCCGGTTGGTTTTTTTCAAATAAAATCCTAAAAAACCCGAAAACACCCAAACAAAATTAATATATATATATATATATATAAATGTATGTAACCTGCCAAGATTAATTTGTTAAATCTATTGAAATTTAAATTAATTAAGATTTTTGAAATAATATTTTATACAAATTAATTTAGTTTTTAAGATAATGATTATTATCATAACCTATTCGATAAGTTATAGCTTTTGGCGGCAGAAGCTTTGTTCACGATAAATTTTATCACTTAAGATTCAAAATAAATGTTTTACTAATAGTTATTCATTATGTTATCTACAAAACTTCTTTGTAGACAATATTCTTCACTGATCTATTAGTAGGTGACAAAATCACCAAGCTACTGGGTGAGCTTACGCGTGAGCAAGCTACGTAGAACTGCCCATGTGAAAAACAGTTTTCTCGCAAATCTATTCCTGCAAATTTAAGAGTTTGGCCTTGAGACTTGTTTATAGTCATTGCAAAACAGACTTTCAGGGGAAACTGTAATCGTTTAAATTCAAACGGATGATCATTCGGAATTAAAGGGATTCGTGGTACAAACGCAGTTTCCCCTTTTGCACATTCTGTTAAAATTGTGGCTTCTAATATATTGCGATGTAAAGCTTTGACTTTAAGCCTGGTCCCATTGCACAGTTTAGGCGGTTTCAAATTTCGCAACAACATAATAGGTGTGCCCACACGTAGAATAAGCCTATGATATGGCATGCCCGGTGGTTTCAATGAATTTAAAAATTCAACCGGATAATTAGTTGCATCGTCCATGTTGACCACCGTATCTATAGAAATATATACTTTTTCTTCCCCTTCAAAAGACATCAGCAGTGTATCATTGATAGCCGCCGCTTGGTCATTTTTTGGAGTGAGTATAGCACGTTCACACAACTATTTCATAGGCTTATCATGAATATGAGCAATTTCTGGATAAATTTTTGATAATAAATCCTGAACCGTAATTACAACTGTACACAAATTTTCTGGGATAGTTATCGTTTCATCAAACGATGGATAATCACCATTGCCAATTTCAAGTAAAAGATCTGAAAATCCACCAGCAAACTTTTCCTCTCCCAAGTGTACCCTCATATTTTTTTACATTAAAAAACATCAACATTTCTACTGACCGTTGGTGTTATACTTTTAATTGTACCTACCTAATTAAAAAAATAATTACTACCCATATTAACGTATGATAAAAAAAAAAAAAAAATAGATAAGAGTGAATTTCTATTTTATCCAGAAAAGCAGCCCACTCGGAAAAACAGCTCAGGTTTTTTCGGGCAGGACTTTTTCGTGCCAACCCTGGTCATATTTCTTGCGTAATAAAACGACGGCGAGAAATAACGGGGACGCAAAGATATAAAGCAAAATCATGAAGACGGCTAAATGCAGACAAGCGTCGTTGGCGTTCCGGGTGCTTCGAGACACATCGCCGTCCCCAAAACTGGTTCCGTTGATCGATCGAGCGTCCCTATTGATGGTCGAACGAGTGGTGATATCACGGTAAAGGGTTGTAACGGGGAGGATGGTGCTACTTCCCTTTTGACATGACCGTGTCAACGGTACTGCAGTGTCGAGCGTCGTCGCGTGGTATACGGAGAGAATTGAACAGCGTCCGATGTTCGTTTTATTGAATTTGAACGGATAAGATTTGAAACGATGTTCGGTCGAATAAAATATAAATATCAAACGAATAAAATATCTTTATTCCTACAGTCGATTTATAAACAAATCGTTACGTTAAAACACGACGATATCGAGCTGGAAAACTAAGAAAAAATAACCAACGATTACAGTGAACGACGAGTATTAATTTTATAACGGTGCCATAATGCAGTTAATTGTGAAGTTAGTCCAATTCGGTGTGATTGTTGCGGACACCGTTGAGTGACGTAACGTTCTACGAAGTGGGTGGTTATTTGAGAACAAAATAGGTTGGCATCTCGTGGAATGAAGAATAATAACACGATCCATCGTTAAAGGAACGCGATACGGGGAAGAGACTGATAAACGTTACCTTTTTACATTCAACTTCTTATCAACACTTGCAAAATAAAACATTGTTTCGCTTCGATATATGAGATAAAAAAAAAAAAAATGTTAAATGCCATTCAAAACTAATTGATTATGTTTAGTTTTTTTCCGCAGTGCATATGTGGTGATTATTGTTAACAATAAAAAGTCCGAGAGCATCTTAGTAATGCAACATTGGCAGTTAAATAATGTAGAGATTTGTAAAAAAAAAAAAAAACCATTGAACAATTATTAAAAGAAAGTCACATAATTTTACTATAGTTTTCTTTATTTTATTAGACACATAAATGTAATAAACGATTCAAGGCAATTTATTGTTTTATCGTATAATTGTTATACATTTATCGGTGTTAATATTTTTTTTCCACCCATATTGTTTCGCAAAAAAACTTGTATATTATCAATATAGAAGCGCATTCTAAATTCTAAAAAATAGCTTTGTTTCTGATAGGATGAGAATGAACACTTAAGATCTTGGAAAGAAGATATTTCTGGTCCATTCACATTGTTATCCGGTGATTATAAACGAATAAACGAACCGCCGTTAATTACACTCGACTTTTAACATGACCATCGAGGCCGTGCAGTGAGATTGAGCTAATGACCGTTCTCGGTGCAGCAATCTTAAAAGTGCTGCAAATTCGAAAAACGGTTTCTGAACACGTGCAATCGTATTACTGAATATAAATTATCACATTTGATTACGAATTATTAATACAGTTCGTTACTGTACGTATGCGTTTCGCTTTTCGTAACGATTTGCCGGAGGTGCATTGAAATGCAAGTGCGCTAATGCGGTACCGAGTGGAAGAGTCGGTACAGCAAAAGGTCGTTTGTAATTATTATTGTAAATTGTAGAAAGTTATAGGTACGTACGCCGTACACGCGCGCACTATTGGAAGCGAACGTGTAACAGTAATATTATTATAAGTTATGGGTTTTTTTTTACGATTTCAAACGATTATTCAGACGCGTCGGCGATGTACGTGCGAAAAATAAGTACAACGACGGGATCACACCGTGCGTTAAACGTCGACTGGTGCACAGCGCATAAGTGCATAACCAGTATATTATGTTTATGCACGGTGTGCGTGGTGTTTACAGGACGATCATCATTACGATATCATCATTTCTAAACTGAAACAATTCACGGGGCCGTTATAGACATATTGAAAAACTAAAATTTAGTAAAGCGTTGTGGTATTTAGAATTCAGATTGATTCCAGAATACCTGGACCGATGATCAATACGATACAGGTAGTGGCGCTGTTACACATGTCCCATACTGTTTGGTAAATTTGGGTATTATTTTTACGAATCCAATTGTAATACGGTAACTCGTATGGTAATTCATAACTTCTCTCGGTTACTTCTCACAATATTTATCGAATCTTGGCTATCGGAAGATAACGGACATTTAGGATGATTCGATTTTGCCGTTTTTTAGATATGTATTCTTATCGTAAATGTAATATTTTAAAAATATTTTAAAATTGAAAATATTAAAACAAACTAATACAAAAAGGTACCTAGGCATATATTATTAAGCGGATCAAATTACATCCGTATCGGCCTAATGGTCTCCATACGAAATCATAATTTCAAAAACTTTAAAATTTGTGAAAATTAAAAATCAAAATTTTATTTTTCTTATTTGATGCTTCTTGGATCTAGTTAAAAAAAAAAAAAAAAAAAATACGTACGAAGAACGTCTCGTTAGCTCGCCGTATTCGTACATCGTATCTGTATCAGTCACACGGATTTCTGATGTTTTACAAGAATAAACGCGCGGACTAACGGCGCAAACGTGTTCGGACTAATATTGCACTAGACCAATGACAAAATGACTAAATCGCCGTTCGTGCCGCGGTGATAACGACGTGCGAAATGACGACAGTCCATGTACGGCGACGGGAACGATCGAATTCGTAGCGGAGCGAGATGAGCAAATGCGTTTGGAGGAAAAATAAAATGAACTTGAAGTTTTTTCCCTCTCGCTCGGCCGATTCGGGCAGGCCACTTTGCCACGTCTCCCAGCCGATGCACACAAACGATATCTGTACAATCGTACTATAATGTGTACCTATTTATACACACACACACACACCGATGCATAGGTGCACTTTTATATGCACCCGCGAGCTATTATGTGTACACAACGACTTTATAGTGTACCGGGTCGGCTCGCGAGTTGTTATTAATGCGTTCTGATTAAAGTGTTTCGGCGTAAATCCATCCGCACATGTACGACGTATTATTATTATACTCGTAAAAAAAAAAAAAAAAAAAGCGTCGGGAAATTAATGTCGAAATAATCGTACACAAATGACTGCACGTGTGCGTACGCGCGCGAGTCCGTCTCTCGACTCGAACATAATATACACATGCGCGCGTAATAATTACTCTTTTCCGAGTGCGGATGTTTACGAGCTTGCAGCGATTCGCGTGGCGTGGGTTATAAAAAATAAAAAATAAAATTTAAAAAAAAATCGATTCCGTGTAGCGCCATTAAAAAAAAAAAAAAAGAACGACGTGTGAGAACGAGTGAAAACGGCAAATTTCGACACGTACGCGAGCTTTGATTGCGGGACACGACGCGCTGCGAGCTACTTCGATATCGGCAACGCACCCAAGTCCAGTCGATGCACCGCAACTCCGAAGTACGCCCGGGGGAGGAGTCCGTCGTGCTGCGCAGGAATCTCGGACGGGAATACCAGACGATAAAATGTATGTTGTTTATATTGTCCGTACGACAATCCTAAGGGAACGCTTATTTCATCGTCGACATATGTAAAACGATCTTTGCATCGTCTTGTCTTGCGATATATTTTATCAGGAACTTTTTAATGATCTGTAATGATCGAAGCAATCCTTCGGTCGTCATTCGTTTGGGCGAGAATTCGACCGATCGAATTTATCAATTATTGAATGATTGGGAATTACCAAATCTATTCAACAATACAACTGCATACAAGTAATGAAGCTGAATCATTTTACAGTAATAATAACTCACAATCGGATCATACACATCTTAATATATATCGATTAAATTGTATATGAAAATAAATTCAAACACAAACCTTATTAAAAATGTATTCTATCAACAAACAATAAATCAATATCAATATATTACGTAACAATACTAAAGAAAAACAAGAATATACATTGAGATTAAGTTAATTTAATTGAAAACATAAAACATTTTTAATCATACCAAATATAGTTAAATGAAAGTCCTGAGTCTCCAGAAATAGGAAGGAAAACATATTATTTCATATACATTTTATAAATAGGTGCATAAACGATGTACTAGACATATTGGGGATCCGCATAAATTTTGTCCCAATGATATGTATAAATTCGCCCAAATGAAAGCCGTCGAATCTTTCTGGTCATAATTATGTATACAGAAACACAAAAAAAAAAAAAAACACATACATCACGGTAAAATAAAATATATTCCGCGTTTCATTCAGACTCTATAAAACGAGTAATAACGTGGTTTAGAGTAATTTTTTTTTTCATTTTTGTTTTACATGTAAACATTATTTCAATTAACGGTTACATATGTATTTCGACGATACACTTTCGTGACCAGTTCTAACTTTATAGACGTTGAGCTAGTTTGGTCTCGTCTCAAAGCGTATGCACCAGATGATTCGGAAACTCTTTTATTTATCAGGTTTGGTTTAGTTTTTCGACCATTTGATGAGATATCGATGCACACGGTTTATTCACAGTATTTCGGCTATACACGTTGTTTCGATAAATTTCGAATGTCGTACACCGACCACGGGTTTTGGCCACACAAAGCGTGTACATTATCCACTTGATTTACGTATCGGTAGTTTAATACCGGGTTACGATTTCGAAAATATTTATAGTTTCTATGTTTTCCATATTAAACTCCGTTAAAGCAAATAAATCAACGACGCACTAATTCTTTTAAAGTAGTTACGTAGGTATGTAAAATATTATGAGTTTTTTTTTATTTTTATTTTATTCGCTTTAAATTACTGTTCAGTTTTATTCATAATTAATAATGGTTTTCA